ATGACTTTCAGATCCTTCTCTCGGTGTCATTGATTTTTCCCAAACAGGAGTCTGCGTTGACCTCCACCAGTGTCCCAAGTGGGGGTCAGTGCTCAGCCCTCTTTCTTGCTCATTTGCCTCTATTTGCAGGCTGGAAATGAATTGATTAGGTCCTTACCTTAATACCTGACATGTCTCTTCTCTCTCTTAGCTGTATGAACTCAAGGATATTTTATTCACTTATTTTTTTCCAGTATTCACAGGTCTTAACATTCAACGTGTTTCTGTTTGGTGCCCCTAGATTCCTCATAAACAAGGTGTCTCTGGCATGCCTTTCCCTCACCAAGATCCAAAGTCATAGATAAATCCTTTTTTTTTAGAAGTCACTGGGCTTTCTTGGATGAGAAATAGATTAGAGATCAGGCCTCAGGTTGCATAGGTACACAATACCTGTTGGGGCAGGCAGGTAGCTGCAGTGGTAGTCAGGTTTTGTTCTAGAATGAGACAGGATCTTTAATGCATGGCACTCATTCATTTCTGTGTTTTTGATATAATGCTCGGTTTACTAAGTTATTTAGCACTAAACCAAGAGCATCTCAACTTGTATTCTTATACCTTTAGCTGAGCTACCACCTTTCTCCTTTTATTCAAGTACACCATCTTTATAGCACATTTGACAAGCTATACTATATTATCACATTAACCTATGAATTTGGTCATCCATTACTGTGTAACACACAACCCTACAATTTAGGGCCTTAAAACAACCATAATTTGTTTTTTTCTCATTATTCTACAACTTGGGAAGTCTTGACTGGCCATTTTTTGGCCCCATTGTGATGCTACTTAGCTGCGGTTAGCACACAGCTGGGCTAGGCTGGAGGCCCAAGAAGGCTTCACTCACATGTCTGGTGCCTCAGGACTCCTCTACATGTCTTCTCCTCGTGGCCAGGTTGGCCATCCTCATAGCCTGTTAGTGTCAGTATAGTTGGATTTCTTAGAGGATGGACACTTTCCAAGAGTGCAGGAGTGGGAGTTGCTAGCCCTTCTTATGGCACAGTATCACTTCTAACATGATCTTGATCAAAGTAATTAAAAGCCTGGGCCAGATTCAAGGGGAGGGGAAATCGGCTCTAGGTCTGGATGGGAGAGTCTCTGAGGATGAGCTCTGGTGGCCATCTTTGTACACTACTACACAACGCATTGATTTACGCTTCTCAAAATCTTTGGAAACATCAATATTTTGATACCAAACTTCCAGCGAATATACGTTCTCAAAGCTCCCAATTTTATTACCCTAGATTCCTTATTTGTAGTAGTTTCCTATCAGTTGAGGCCAAAATAGTTATAACAATGCCAATTTCTCCTTCTCTTGCTTAAACAGAATTGAATCTCATATACATGTTCTGTAAAAAGAAAGATTTACAGTGTGCTTAGTGACTATTTAACATAACCTACAGAGTTATCTTACATACATTCAGTTCTGCAAGAACATCTCAACATGGTACCTAGCTATACAGTGTAGCAAAGGAACCAGCTTGCCCCAATTTGAATATGAATTTTGTCACATATGAGCTGTATAACCTCGAATAAGTTTCTGAAGCTCTTTTTGACTCCATTTCTTTACATATAAAGGAATAATAAAGCCACATAGAGTTGTTATAAAGAATCAAATGTAGTCAGAGCAGTTGTAGACACATAAACAGCATACAGGATGTGTCAGTTATTGTTGTTGTTATGACACAGGTTGACCAGCATTAGACAGTTAAGGCAGGATGTGTGTGGGGCAATGGAGCAGCCAAGGTACAAGGTCAGCTCTTATCCATCTGCGGACTCCCATGGGCTCTGGCCCACACCTGTGTCCCCTCACTATTACCTCGCCCAGCTCACTGGTGGCTGCATGGCACAAATGCAGGAGTCTGCATGGCCCTCTTTGTTCGTTTCACTTTCATGTAACGATGGAGTGCTGCTGTGCCTCTCCCACGCTGCGACAGGAGAAGTCCATCTATTATCATTGAGGTTGCAGCCGGCAGTTCTGGTCTCATGGTTATACGCCTAGTGTGTCAGTCTTTTGCTGTTACCCCAGAACCCACTATTTGAGAGCCCAGACTGCCACCTGTCTCTCAAAAAGATAACTAACCCACAGCCATTACTGGCCTTGTTTTACCCAGGATCAGATTGCTCTTCAACCTTTTTCCCAGTGGATATCACCAAAGGCTCCAAACTGCACCCAAATCTACCACTGAGAATTCTAGCCTTGCATTCTCTTCCATTGGAGGTAGCTGAGAATGTGCTGTCTTGGGAATCCAAATAGTACATCAGGTGCCCTCAAGTTAGTTGGTGGATCAGAGTGTAGAAGTTTTTCCTGACCTTGATAGGAATATCTTCACTCTTCCCTGTACACTTAAACCCAAGCAACAGAATACATAATGTAGGCCCTGGATTCTGCCTGGGTTAATGACCCATCTTCAGTCCCTCAGGCAACTCTCTAAAGCTAAAAATGTACTTTTTAGTGAAGTTTCACCTTCACTCATGAGCACCGGTGTGTTGCCCTAGCTACAGTCATGTGGCCAGCTCCAGAGGCCCATCTTCCAGTGAACATGCCAATTACAGGATGTTAACATATCCCTGGGGCTACATGGTAAAGAGAAATCCGTGTCTCCCTTATCCAGCTGCTTAGCAGACTGGAAATGCTGATGATTTTTTTTTTTTTTTTTTTTTTTTTTTTTTTGCTTAAAAGAAGTAAAAAGAAGACTGGCTAAAGCATTTAAAAATATTTCAAAAGGCATTTATGAACTGGCAAAAGTAAGAACATTAGGGACCACAACCAAATGAAAGTGCTGTGAGCCTTTGCAGGCATTTGTCTGATTAGGTGAACTTGATGATTGGTTTGTCTAGCCATAACAGGCAGACAAAAAAGAAAAGCCCCAAAATGTAAGTCTAGTTGGTCTGTCTAACCCTGGAAGTCTAACAGGAAACTCTGACTACCCCAACCTACATGCAATTAGGCCCCAGAGATCAATTGCCTCAGAGTAAGGATGGGCTGGGAAGAAAGCCCCAGGGGATAGCAAAGAACATTGGCTGTCTTGACCCTTAATGCTGAATGGAAGGGAAATATTCTCCCCCAAGAGGCCATGCATCTGAATGCCCTCACACAAATCTGTAACTCAAACTCAAACTATATGAGTGGTTCAAAAATCTCAGGTAGAAAATTGAGTTATAAATTGAAGCCCAGGTTGGTTGCGCCTCAGGCATCTGGCAAAAGAAAACAAACCTCTGGGGAAACTCACCTGTAACCTAAGACTCGGGGAACTCTCACAGATATTGTTCTGGGCAAAAAATTACAAAATCACTAAGAGGGAGAGCCTGAAAAACAACAAACAGCTGAAGCATATCTACAGCGATTTCAGGCATTGGCATTATAAGACACAGATTCTAAAATAGTAAATTTAAACTAATAAAATGATTTAGAAAAGAAAGGAACATGAGATTTTTAAGTTATCAGGCAGATCTGACAAAGAACCAAGTAAAAATTTCTGAGGTGAAAATTATGAGTCAAGATTTAAATACTGTATTTCAGATTTAACAGTCAATTAGACAAAGGTGAAAAGAAGATTAGTGAGCTGGAATAAATTCAAAAAAATTGTCCATAATGCAGCCCAGAGAGGGGAAGAGATGGAAAAATGAGAAGTTAAGAATCATGCAGGACAGAGTGAGAATTTCAGAAAGAGAAATCAGAATATCGGGAAAGAGGCAATATTGAAAGAGATAATTGCTGAGACTTTCAAAACTGATTAAACAGATTCAGGAAACCCACTATATCTAAAGAAGGTCAATATTTTAAAAAATCCACAGCTAGATACATCCCAGTGAAAATGTAATACCAAAGACAAATATAATAAGACTAGGTAGAAGAAAAAAAAGGTATATAACTTCCTAAAAATCAGCTCATTTTTATGTCCTATTTGCTTTCCATATGGGCCAACAGGGAGAACAAATGGTTAGTAGATAAATCACTCCCTTTTTCTGAACTTCCTTGGTTGTGTGGTTACAGCCTTAATTTTCCCAGAGAACTTTTTCATGGACATTTTAGAGAGTGCATGGACTCCTCCGTGGCTAATCACTGTGACTTGTGTGTCCTAGGCGAGGGAAACAGCTTGGTGTGGGTGTGGGAGACCAATGGACAGGATAGAGGGAACCATAAAAAAGGAGGACTGTTACTGGGTAGATCAAATCTTTGTTCCTTTTCTTGTATATGTGTACTACAAAGCAGGAAATTTTGCCATGTTAGGAGTGCTGTATGTTTTGTCAGTTTTCAATACAAATGTAAACCTAAACTGTAACCTGAAGCTGAAAAGCTAGATCCAGGGGGTAGAAGAGGCTCAGACCCAAATTCCCTTTGGGCACACACCCAAGCACTTGAAGGCAGATTAGCTCTGATGAGAGTCTGTGGTGAGTTTACTTCTCTACAGGTGGTCCGTAGGCACCTGGCTTAAGCTGCCTGTTACCTCCACTGTCTTCTGCTTTCTGTCCCACCCAGTCAGTAGGGCATGCTGTTCTGCTAATGCCCAGCTCACTGAGGGTGCAGAAGCCTTCCCTTTAGCAGAGAAGAGCCAAGGGAATGAGAGACAGGAGAGAGGGGAGAGAAGGTTGGAAGGGAAGGAGGCAGCTTATGAATACACATCTACTTTTCCTTGCTTCACCCTAGCACTGGGGACAATAGGGAGATGGAAAGGAAGCTGGGGAAGAGGTTATTACAAGGAAAAACCCACTAAGAATGAGATTTCCTTTATAATGTAAAGAAATAGAGTTTTCAGGCCAAATCCTGTTTCTCCTTGGAGATCTCTAATCATAAACTCTGGATTTAGAGCTTATGATTCAATATTTAACATATATTTAGTGGACTTCCATTATATTCCAGGTACTATTCCAGACCCAGGGTGGGAGGGGGATATAATGGTGAAAAAGAGAACAGAAGTAAGAAGATTTTCTTTTTATCAACGTCGAATTATATTCTAAATATGGAAAACGCAAAAAGCAAGAAGTGTAACTCCAAAAAGAAGTCGGGGGGAAAAAAATTGGCTGGCAAATTCCAGCCAGTAAAAGCTGAAGAGGAACATCAGGCTGCTGGTGAATCAAATATAGAAAGAAGCTCAGGGAAGGAAACCAAGCGGAAAAGATCTAAGAAAGATGACAAAGCTTCCTGTCCAAAAGAGATGGCACAAGACAATAAAAGAGTAAGAATTCGTAAGAAGATACCAATTCCTCCGTTGCCCCTTAAATTGCCACCAGTTCACCTGCTTCACCGAGACATGGTGAGGGCTTGGTGCCAGCAATTAAATCTGGGTACCAAAGGCTTGAAAGTGGAAGCATATAAGAGGCTGTGTGAATATGCTTACCGTCATCAAAAGTATATTCCTGTCTCATCAAAGGAGGCCAGGGTCTTGACAAAATCAAAAAGAAAACTGAAGATGGAAAAAGAGGGAATTACTCTGAAAAGTTTGGGTCTTCCTGAACTGTCTGCTCCCCCTGAGGAGGGGATGCCTGCTCTCGGAAGTGCTACTGCTCTCCTTGAGGGAATGGACAGTGTTGTCGTGACAGCTTCCACGTCAGAAGTTGTGTTCGCCTCCTGGAGCAGAATCGCAGCCACTGCTGAGAATATGGAGACAGTGCGGTCACCACAAGAGGCCTCTGGTGTCAGGTGGTGTGTGGTCCACGGGCGAAATCTCCCTGCAGACACAGAAGGTTGGGTTAAGCTACAGTTTTATGCTGGGCAAGCCTGGGTTCCTGAAAAACAAGGGAAAGTGTGTGCACTCTTCTTGTTACCTGCCTGCAGCCTTCCACCCTCGCACCTGGAGGACAATATGTTGTGCCCCAAATGTGTTCATAGGAATAAGGTATTAATGAAAAGCCTCCAGTGAAATTAAGATACCAAGAAAAAGAATACAGCTAGGATTATAACTAATGGTAGAAAAGTGACTACGCTCAACTCTGGTGCCACTGACAGCTGAACTCCAGGCTGCTTGGACACCGTCCACGCTTCCTGCCTACAGGGCCCACAGACTGCTGGTGGGAGCAGGTGTTACCTTCAGACTCTCAACATGCCTGCCACTTCGTCTGTTGGGATGTAGACATTTTCATTTTAAAATGGAAAAGCATTAAATTATCGTTCACTGCAGTGAATAAGATGAAAAAGTCACACCATCAAACAACTATCCTTCTGAAACAGAAGTGACCTCAGCACCTCCTTCATGGTAGAAACATCAAGTGAACATTGCAGAGGGAGTGGAGAAACGAGAGTGCTCCCATGCGGGATTCTAGCATCAGAATTCTGGCTCCTTTAGGGGGCTGCTGCCTTCTAAGTTTAATAACTTCAAACTGTTGACTATCTGGAGCCATAGGAAAAACTGTTATTCTCTCCATTCCCAAAAAGTATGTTATTAATATACAAAACATTTTTTTTAAAGATTTCCTTTATTTTTGGAAAGAAAGGGAGGGAGAAAGAGGAAGAGAAACATCAATGTTTGGTTGCCTCTTGCATGCCCAACCTGGCCAGCAACCCAGGCCTATGTGCCCTGATTGGGAACCAGCGACCCTTTCTTTAGTTCGCAGGCTGGCACTCAATCCAGTGAGCCACATCAGCCAGGGCTTAATATACAAAACATTTTTCAAAGTTTTCTTAACCTGAGTTCTATGGTGTGTTTTCTGAGATTAAAAAAACAGGGCACTTTTCAAGTATTATTTCCAGTTGTAGCTGTTTTGTATGTTTCTGCTGTTTAAAAAAGTTCAAGGTTATTTCTTAGTTATAAACACATAATATGTTTTAAGTGTGTATGTAAAATAATTAATATACTGTGCTTAGGAAACTTTGTTGTATGCGAATTACTGTTAGTGCTCTTAACTCAGTAGGATTAAGCCATAGGTATGATTATTTATAGTCATCCCTACTATTCCATGTATATTTTAATTTTGTTTTCTTTTTTAACTTTTTCCTTTTATTCATTGGATTGCTCAAGTTTCTATTTTATTTCCTTACTCTCTTCCTTTATTAATTTGGGAATTTTACTTTGCTTTCCAATTCTGCTTATTCTCTTCCTAACACACTAAAATAAACTTAACATTCTCTCTATATAAAGTAAGTGCTGTTCTACCATTAAGATTGTATATTTACCCCTCCTAACTGCCCCAGAAAATAAAATCTTCAAAGTCACATTCCCCAACTCCCTAAAATTCACGAACTCTCAAAACTGCTATAAAGGTTTTAACTACCTTACTCTACTCCCTCCTTCACTGTCTCTCCCAATCTCTCCAAATAGCTCATGGAAGGGAATTCCATGACTAAGGGATCCTGTGATATGGTCTTGACTGGGGGAGCAAAGAAAAAAGCCATTTTACCCATCTGGAAATTACAGTTAATAGCCCCAAAAGTATGTCTGTGCCCACAAACACACACATGGTGTGTTTATGTGTGCAAGATGTGAGGTGCAACAGGAATGTGACAGGAGAAAACTTGGGCCAGCTCCCTAAACTTTTCTTGGTTTCCAAGGGCCACAGAAGGCTCCCAAGAGTTGGTGCTGAAGTAACAGCTGGAGCGGCAGGTCCTGCCAACACATTGCTGACTGAGGCAAATGAGTTTGCAAGTACAAAGTCTGAACTCACTGATAGGAAGCAAAAAGTGGAAGTTGCCACATCTTCAAAAATCCCCAGCCCTAAGTGACAAAGGAAGGAAAAGGGATATGGGGGAAAAAAATTTAATACTAATTCAATGAATTGAAATTATAAATTTCTATAATCAAAAAGATGAGACATATAGACAAACTGATTATGTCCATCCTAACCAAGTATCCAAATTTAACACCAGGAATGGTACAAGCATTAATGTGTTTTCTGATGGGATGCAATGTATGGCTGACAATATTCTTGTCAAAAAGATCTAATGGGAAGCTACTCAAAAGAGCAATCAGTCCTGATTATACCTGTTGTCTCGTAATTAAATGAATGTACTTGTTTTGTATGGCAATTACTTAGGCATATCCATATAATAAAAGTCCACAGAGCTATGCCCCTAAGTGTGTATAGTTCACTGACTATAAGTTTACTACTTTTTAAAAGTGGTCTGGTTTGCCCCTGACTGGTGTGGGTTTGGCATTCCACGGGCTGAAGGGTCGCTGGTTCACATGCCTGGGTTGCGGGGCAGGTACCCAGCTGGGGGCTTGAGAAAGGCAACTGATGTTTCCCTCACACTCTTCCCTCTTCTCTCTAAAAATAAATCATCTGTCTTGGTTTGAGTAATAAAGTATAGATCTAGTTAAAAGGATGATTTAGTAATAATTGAGAAACTTTGAATATATACTACAACAATGTTAAATGTCTTGGTTGTGATAAATATATTGTGGTTGTAAAAGATTATGTGTACATAATCTCTAGCATTGTTTTATGATTATTGAGTAGTATAAATGTATACACAAAATATATAAAGAATACTGCATTAGCTACTGACAATTGGTTAAAGAAGTACAAAATATATAGGTGCTATACCAAATTTAATGTTTGATAATTTTGAAATAAAAACTTATTTTGAAATAAAATTTAAAAAAATAGTGAAAAAGATAGACAAATATCTGGCTTTTACAGAGCTGACAGCATACTTGGGGTTGGGGAGCAGACAGAAAGCCAACGGCATATGGAGTTGGACAGTTGCTGGTAAATGCTACTGAAAAGAACAGAGTAGGGGAAAAGGACTGGGAGGGTGGGAAGAGTGGCTGTTTTAAGGATGTTCAGGGGAGGCCCCAGAGGCAGGTGGCAAGGTGACATGAGCAAGAGGTGAGGGAGCACAAGTCTCAAGGTAGTGGGTGGGTTTACTCATATGGACAGAAGCCCCAGAAGCCCACATAGCCCATCCTCAGCTAAGGAGAAGCTGGTAGGCCCTCAGCTCCAGGGAGGTACTGCTGTGCTGGGGAGTTGCTGCACGTGACCCAGGGGGAGAGGTAGTGGAGATAAACGGTAAGGGCTGGCTGGCTGGCTGGCTGGTTGGAGGTCCGCAACCATGTGAACTAGGCCCGAGAGCTGAATTTATACCTGGGCACCAGCTCAAGTGTGCACCACACCTGGAAGGAACTGGTTTTGTGAACCTTGAACCAAGCTGAGTCCCAAATTCATTTTTTTTTACCCGCTGAGCTGAGCAGTGAACCAAGGATTTTTCAAAAACAATAACGCCTAGTAGCTAGTTTGAATCAGAACCAAGACTATTCATTTTCTAAAAGTATTGAACTAGAACAATATGGGAATATTAAAACATCTTTCAAACTACATCAGCATTGAACTGATCATTCACAAGCACATTGCTGGGAATAGAAAAAAATATTTTAGGAGATACAGTTTTGCCTGTATTTGATGTCTGGTTGAGAGTCTGCCCTCTTCACCATTAGGTTATCCTGTCTTGGACCTCTTTTTTCAATTGAAATCTTGGGCTTAATTTTAATGTTTAACGTTTCATTTGTACATTTTGTTTGCCTACTTATTCAACATTTTCTTGACAATGGGAGTTGCGTTTTGGATTGTCCAGAGATCTTAGCACAGACCGGTGTGCAGGTGTGTGTATTTGTGGCAGGGGAAGAGGGTGGGCTACTGGCAAAATGACTAAGCTGAAAATTTATTTTGAAAGCCATTGGAGACTGTGGAAGGGTTTTAAGTTGGGGGCAGTGAGTTCAAATCATGTTTTTGAAAGATCACACTGTGGGCAGCAGTGTGGAGAAGGGACAGGGATGAAGGCAGGGAGATTACTTAGGAAGTGATTGCAGTCATCTGAGTGAGTAGTGATTTAAAAGAAAAACAAAACTGTGGTGGTATGTGAACCCACAAGAAGGTCGGAAACTGCCTGCGTTCAAATCCTGCCTTTACATTTCCTTGCTGTGTGACCTGGGGCAAGTCATGCAACTTCTCTGTGCCTCATTCCCCTCCTCTGTAGAGCTTGGAGGCTCATAATGCTTGCTGCTTCATGTGCTTGTAAAGTTTGCATGACACATTATTTGTCAAGGATAGAGAAATTAGAATAGTGCCAAGCACAATAATAACTCAGTTGATTGTCATTAGTGAGCAAGGAGAGAAAGTAATATATAGGAGGGATGTGTAGATGGTAGAATCAACAGGATGGGATATGGGGAAGAGTGAGAAGAAGGAGTTAAGGATGAATCTGAGGTTTCTGATTTGGGCATTTAAGATGGTGGCCACACAAGTGAAGGGAACTTGGGAGAGGAACCAGGTTGGAAAGGCAAAATTTGAACATGTTGAGTGGGAGGTGCCTTAACCTTATAGGTCTGAGTATTACAGAGCAGTATAGGGTGTAACTAGATACAGGCATAAGAGTCATTTGTAGAGTGACCCTGGGTGTGTTGAATTTACCAAGAGGATGTAGAGTAGGAAGACAGCATTTAGGGCAGGTCGATGTTTAAGAAGCAAATTAAACCCTGGCTGGGTTGTTCAGTTGGTTAGAGCATTATCCTGCTATGCCAAAGTTGTGGGCTTGATCCCTGGTCAGGGCACATACAAGAATCAACCAATGAACACATCAATAATTAGCACAACAAATCACTCTCTTTCTCTCACTCTTTCCCTCTCCCCACTCCCCTACTTTCCTCTCTCTTTCTAAATAAAATTTTAAAAAGTGCCCTTGCTGGATGGTTCACTTGGTGGGAGCATCATCGTGTACACAAAAAATGCTGCAGGTTCAATCCCCAGTCAGGGCACATACATAGGTTGCAATTTTGATCCTCGGTCAGGGCAGGTATGGGGGGCAACCAATAAATGTTTCTCTCACATTGACGCCTCTCTCTCTCTCGCTCTCAAATCAATAAACATATCCTCAGGTAAGGATAAAAGGAAAGAGGCAAATTAAAGACTGTGGGGCTATAGAACTAATGGA